ACCCTTGATAATTTATAAATTATTGTTGTATCTTATATTACACTGCCCGGCATCTCCCTTCACCCACCCCTCTGCTGCCCGTCCACCAGAGAGGAGGTTATATGTAGCTCCCTGTGATCAATTCCCCCTTTTATGGCTCGTTTCTTTAGGATACGTGCTTGGCAGAGGAATCGCTTTACGGCAGTGGTTTCAAACTGCTGACCTTGTTAGCAGTCCAATGTGTCCCCCCCCACTGTCTATTATAACTTCATCATCGACGCCATCGTGATCGACAGAGGAAGGACGGATGTTGTCAATCACTTCATTTTACGTGGATCCACAATCAATGCTCGTGGTAGCAGTGATCAACAAATTAACCGACCTGTTACATCGGGCAGATCTGCTGCAGACGACCTCGTGGGAGTGTTGAAGAGCCAAGCTGTCACTTGGAGGACTAAGGTGTGCCTGTCCCAAGCCGTCGTGTTGTTCCTCACCTCCTGGGCATGTGACAGTTGGAAACCGAATAAGGAAGACCCGAGGAGAATGGATGTGTTTAAATTACAGTGTCCGAGAAGAATATTGAAAGTACTGTGGACTGTCCGAACAAATCTGTCTTGGAGGCAGTAAAGCCAGCGAGCTCGTTAGAAATGAAGACGGTGAGACTTCGTCTCATGTTCTTGGGCCCTATGATCAGGAGAGACTCGCGCGGTTCAGCTCACTGCCACTGAGTCGATGCCGACTCATAGCGACCTTATCGGACAGGGTAGAAACTGCCCCTGCGGGTTTCTGAGACGGTAACTCTTTACAGCAGTAGAAAGCCCTGTCGTTCTCCGCCGCAGAGCGGCTGATGGTTTTGAATTGCTGACCTTTTGGATCACAGCCACTATGCCACCAGGGGTCCTGTTCAGGAAAGACTAGTCCCCGGGAAAGGACATCAAGCTCGGTAGAGGGCCAGTGAAAGGGAGGAAGGTCCCCAAGGAGATGGACGGACACAGTGGCTGCAACAATGGGCTCGGGCATAGTACAATTGTGAGGATGTCGCAGGCCGGGGCAGGGTTTCCTTCTGTTATAGAATAAGGTTGCTATGAGTCAGAACCAACTCGATGGCACTTAACAACAACAGCAAACAACTTGGCTCCAGCCGTTCTGATAGCCAGCACTATCATCATCACCCCCCCAAGACCTATGTCTTCCTCCATTCATTCCACCAGCCAGCATTGATGGGCACCGTCTGCTAGGCACTGTTCTAAGCTCTGGGGATTCACAAAGCGATGCAGACAAGGTCCCGGCCCTTCTGGAGCTTTCTGACATTCTCATGGGGCACTGGACCTTAACTACCCTCATTTCGAGAGAGTGCTTTTCTGAAATCTTCTTGTAGCCAGTTTGAGTTTCAAAACTCTGGGTCTGTGTACCATCTTGCAAAACGAGCCTTTCCAAGAAAGAGAGCCTAGCCCTCCCAGATGGCGGCTGCCTTTGAAGACAGCTAGGTCTGGGGTGGGCTCTGGTGGAGCAGAGGTTAAAGCACTGGGCTGTTCACAGCAAGGTCTGTGGCAAGCGGGGAGCCCCATGGGAAGTGGCCCCAGGGCTCCAGTGAGAATAACCAGGTTCTGACATCTCTCACCCTGCTTCATTCTGACAGATGTCTCCCCCTCAACCCCCAATATCTCAACTTCCAGGACATTTTGAAATCGTTGGGGCCAGACTTAATCTCCACCTGACTACCTGGGTTCAGAATTCTAGGGGAACCCCCGTGTTTCTGTTTCCTTACCATTTGAGGGTAGGGGCCCAGAGAAGTGACCCCAGAAGATGCCTGGTCGCCTCTAGAGCTCTGCCCTCTGACTGCCAGGCTGTTTCAGGGTTTGGGGTCCCCCCTTCCTGCTTTACGGAGTGACCCCTGGGTGTTCCACTTCCTCCCCAGCCTCAGTTTCCACCTGTGAAGTGGGAATCTCCCTCACTGGACTGTTGTGGGATGAACCCTGAAAACAGCACCATCTCCAGACTTAGTAGGTGCACAAAAGGCAGGCCCTGAGGTGCAGGTGTGGGGGGAATGCAACTTGGGGGTGAGGGGTGGGCACAGACTCTCAGCCCCGGGGTGGGGGTGGTGGGGGAGTGGGGGAGGAGAGGTCTACCTGGCCTGGTGTGATGTTTGCCCATCAACTCTCACTTCAGGATCCCAGTCTCCAGCTCTCTGGAACCTTCCAGACTGCTGGGGGCTTAGGGCGTTCCCCACTGGGGGTTTCTGGCTGGGGTCCAACCCGGCCCGCACAGTGAGTAAGTAGCTCAGAGATTTCCTGAACTTGGTTTAAAAAAAAATTTTTTTTTTCTTTTCTTCCCTAAACATGTCCTGTGGCTTTGTTTTCCAAGCGTCATATGACCGCCCCCCGCCCCGCCCCTCCGGCCCGGCGGGCCCGGGGCGCGGCCGGGAACGTGGCTCGAAAGCGGCGGTCAGCGCCCCCGGGCTGCGGGGCACGTGACTCGCGGCGCGGGGCATAAATGGGACGGCCTGGCGAGCTCGCACAGTCAGCGCTCGCCACCGCCCAGCCACCCTACAGCCACCGCGCAGCCACCCC